AAGAAAACGTGGATATTTTAAGCCCAATCTTATGCAATTTATTTAATCATTCTATACAAAACGAAACTTACCCATCCATACTAAAAATTGCAAAAGTGATTCCAGTTTACAAAAACGGTGCCATTTCCGATCCGTCTAGCTACAGACCGATATCGGTTCTTAGCGTTGTAAATAACATTTCTGAAAAAATTCTATCAAACCGCATAAATAAGTTTTTACAGAAATACATGGTTCTTTGTCCTCAGCAACATGGATTCCAGTCTAATTATTCTACGTCATCCGCAGTGTTGACATTAGCACAATCGATTAACACGGCCCTAAACAACAACAAGCTAGTGGGAGTTGTTTTTCTTGACTTACAAAAAGCATTCGATACGGTAGATCATTCAATTCTTTTGCATAAATTAAAGCACTACGGCATTCGTAATCAAGCCTATGAGTTATTTTCTAATTACATCAAAAACAGACAGCAGGCTGTCGTGATGACCGATATTACTTCCACACTGCGATATCTGAACACAGGGGTTCCACAGGGATCGGTTCTCGGGCCGCTGTTCTTCTCCCTTTATATCAATGACTTGCCTCATGTATTAAGCTCTTCCGAAATTATTATGTATGCCGATAATACAGCATTAATATGTACGGCCGACAATGTTCTTGAATTACAAAGACAAGTAAATGCAGAATTGAAAAAAATTTCCCAGTGGTTTTTTGCCAACAGGTTAACGGTTAATGCTAAAAAAACGAAGTACATTATATTTCATTCCCGTAGGAAATTAATTAGTTACGAAGATATTCAGATAAAAATTGACAACTGCATATTGGAACGTACGGACACGTTTAAATACCTCGGGATAATCACTTTCACTGGGCAGGTCAAATAAATGCCGTCGGTGTAAAGCTGGCTTCCGGCTGCCACGCGCTTTTACAAGCCAGAGGCTACTTTGATAAAAGCATTTTGCGGGCGCTTTACTTTTCTTTCATCGATAGTCATTTAATCTACTGCATGGAATCGTGGGCCTGGACTTATGATTCTTATCTGGATCCCCTTCGAAGGCTACAAAAGCGTGCCATAAGAATAATAAATCACAGTAAGTACAACGAGCCAAGCCGGCCGTTATTCCGATCGCTAAAAATACTACCCTTCGATCTTTTGCGTGACTATAAGATGACCGTTTGTGTTAACAGTATCGTAAAATACAATAGCCCATTTTATGTCTCGTTATTTTATTCCTCTTCCCGCCCTACTAGAAGCCTGACGCTCGGTAACTTTAACTTGGTGCCAAGAAATAACGTTACGTTTATGGTGAGAGATTAATGCAATTCACAGGGATAAAGATCTGGAATAGTTTGCCCACTGAATTGAAGACATCACACAATGCTGCGGTAAAACTAAAAAATCAATTCTTGAGCAAGCTGTAAATCGTTCTTTTTCTCTTTGGTGGTAAGCACTTACATTTGTATAAATATACGCTGGTGAATCTTGTAAACCTAGCATTTTTTTCCTTCTAACTAAAACTTGTGATAGTTTGATGTTCTTTATGTATTTTAACTGATGTTTTTTGGGTGTGTCCACGAAGTTATCTGTCATAACTTTTTGTATGCGCACATGCAGTTTTGTTTGGTGTGACCAGATTGTTTAAGAAGAGAAAGACTTCTCTACTCTGTATATGTGTATATTTACAGTGCCTGTATAGCTACATATGTATTATGTGTGATATTTCCCGCTTCTGTCCATTACTTTTCTCATTGGACCCTACACTAGCCTCAGGCTATGGGTCCAATCAGTGTTTGTAAACCTCATGTGACAAATGATAATAAACATTCAATCAATCAATCAATGTTAAGGCCCTTATACATCCACCTATCATAACCATTATTCGCTTCTCTTGACCCAGAATCTGGCACTCTTTCGCCATCAAATGGCCCTTGCGCCATGAAACACCACACATCATCATCATGGTCTCCTCAGTGTTTTTCTGTTTTGTACCTTCAAATAACAGTGATAATTTGTCGCGATCTAGTAAGGCCATTTTTATTAAAAGAAATCACTGAAACGAGATATTCTTTTTAACAAGAATTTCCTGTGAAAGAGTTTCTGGGGTGAAGTAAAAAAACACATGCCCCCCCCCCCCCTCTCGCCCCTTCCCTACCATTCCCATGATTCGTGCCTCTGATTCATAAATATCGACATGGCCTCCAAGCGCTAGTGCGTTGAAGTTTGTTTTGCTAGATGAGAGTATAAATGTGAGCCGACATAAAGCTGATAGTAATGTTTACGTTGGGTAGTGGATAGAACCATAAGGTGGCAAAATATGTGGAGCTCGCTTGCATTCAGCCTGGCCAAAACTTTTGTCCACCTGACTCACATGGGACTTGCGGCGCTATCTCAGTCTAAGTGAGTCGACTCAGGAGAGAGTTTACCTATCTATGTTCAAACCGCGTTTGGGCTTCACATTGGTGATTCTGTTTCTTGAATTTAGGGAGAGCCCCAAGGCCAGCACCAAAGTCTGTCTCGAAACAATCATGGCTCCCATCAAAGCTGCTACTCTCGGCCGAGACTAAATTGACTCAGTTTGTGAGCAAAGGATCACATTATGCATTAAAAATACTGTCATAGGGCCTCACGTTCTCTTATCTCATGTACAGGAGGCTTAGTGGGGCTAGAAGCTGCATTTTCTTACTTAATGGTAACAAGTAGTATGGATTCGTGTACAGATTTGATTAAGTTTACTATTCAATTCGTTATTACTACACTTAGCATAGAAGTTTTTTCAGAGAACATGTACCAAAGGAAAATACTTGCACCAACATTTAATTATATTATGCGTAATAGCTGCTTTTCTGGCTACTGTGTTGCTTCTGGTGCAGTATGCCAAGAGTGAGCATGAAGCACCCCATTTTAGAACTCTCTATGCTCCAGCACATACAGTGTTCTTTATCGAGTCCCAAACTCTCTATTATTGACTTCCTACTGTTAATTTATGAAACTCCCTATCTAATCATATGTGTTGAAAACTCCCTATCGTGATATCATGTGCCAAAAGCATGTGACAAGTTTCTACGATGAGTGTTACGCAGGTGGGTACCAATATCCCCCCCAAACCCCCTCACCTGCCTGCTCTCAACCCCATGAAGAAATGCCAGGTGCACCTTCTAGCAAACTCCCCTAGCATCATTCACATTGTGGATATGACGGTGATATTTTAAATTTTTGTGCCGGCTCTTTTAAGCAATGCTGCATTGATGAAGAGAACAGTGCATTTATTTCGCTTCTCACATTTTGTAAATGACGTTACGACCTTACCACAAACTGTTTGACTGGTCTTGAAAGTGCTGTTCTTAATTTTTGTGGTAACTCGTGTAGTGACATTGAATACTTCAGTGATTGTGGTGATATGATGTGTTCTCTAGATAGGTAGGTAGTATGGTGGTTATCGTGCGCATATTTGTTCATGGGTATGTTTTTAAGAACGGACTGTTGGGCAAGTTGGTAGTTAATTCTGAGTTGAACTGCACGAAAAACGTAGACATAAAAAGCAACGAACAACACAGGTGCACCTGTGTTGTTCGTTGCTTTCTATGTCCACATTTTTTCTGCAGTTAAACTCAGGCCTATGTGGGTTTCGGAATATGTGTTGCAAATGGTATGATTGAAGGACTCGGTGCTGAGGCAGCGCAAGATGCTGTTACCCCGCTCCTTATGTGTTTGCACATTAGGAGTGGGGTAACGCTTATTCAAGCTGTCAGTTTAATAACCATGTGTGCATGTGCAGTAAATATCTGGAGTAAATGTCTGTCGAACACAGTCGCACCTCCGTCGTCATGCGTTACTTGCAGTGATCTAGTAGTAGCTGGGGCGCCACCAGTCCCAACAGTCACCATGCTTCAGTCATTGACAGTACAGTAGTTTAACCTGTGTTGTGTAGATTTGACTTGTTTCTCTATTCCAAAGCAGTTGAAACTCAATTTAGCTATACATTGATGGCATTTAAGTGATTTTGGTAAAATAAAAAAAATCATGCAATGGAGAAGGGAATTTATTGCCATTCAAAATCTACATTTGTTATGTGGCAACATCCAAAAGCTATCACGACAGGTTATTTGTCACTAACGCATGCCTATGCATGTAAAAACTCTGCAACTGATTCGGACTTTGAGCTTTCCACGTCGCTTGAATGTGAAGCCTCCCATGTCATTCTTCTATGGTGGTGTAGGGGTTATGGTGCCAGACTGCTGAACTGAAAGTTGTGGATTCGATGCCGCTCGTGTACTGTGTGATGGCAGCGAACGTTAAAGAACACAAGAATTGTCTACATTTCTGGAGCCTTTCAATATAGCTTCCCTCATAATCATGCCATCGTTTTAGGACGTAACACGGTAAATGTTATTACTATTACCACGTCTGGGCGATACAGGTGCGGTAGACTGTCATGTGAAGTAATGACAAGGTATGGATAAATGGCGGGGAAAACATGCAGCAGATATTTAGCAAATAGAACAACACAGTTGTATGGAGATGATCAGTGCCATCTGTCATACAAACCAATAAATTAAGAAAATCAATCACCGCGTTTCTATGGGAGCACATACAGGGACAACAAACCACCCTTGCCCCTAGTGGCATTTGGTGCGTTAAAGCGCCACCAGCTGTTAAGTTCTTTGTTCTGTGCATGGGCACAGCACGCAGCTTCACCAAGCTCTCAGTCGCATTGCGACTAGGGTGGCTGGATGTTTTAGTGTAACAGCTTTATAGTGCACATTCGTAGTAAGCACTCCATCTGTGTAAAAATTGAAAGGAATCAGTGCGTTATTTAGATATCTGTTTCTGAAAGAATTTCGTTAAATTGGGGTTACTGCCATGATATCTTTGGTAATTTAAGTTGATGACAACATTGAACCCCATGGGCACCTGGAAATTTTTTCACTAGATCAGGAAGTTTGTAAAATAAATTTTTATCACATCTAAATTCAACTGTGTGTGCTCTTATTTCTCGCAGCTGTTCCAGCAGCGGCCTTTGTGGACACGCAGTGCTCTCCAAGTGGAACTTAACGTACAGCCAGTACGGTTCAAGCTCATTCTGCCCGTGGTGGCTTACTATGTCGTGAACGGACCTTTCCGTACTGCCTGGGTACGCTTGGGGTTTGACCCCCGCAAGGACCCGTCAACAAAGATCTACCAGATTCTCGACTTTCGGCTCAAAACATGTGGGTAGCCGCTTCCTTTCTTTTGAATCCAGCTGCAGCAGAAATTTAAATTATTTACAGCATAATATGTTGTTTGTGGAAGCAGCCTTAAAAGAAATCTTGAGGGATCGAAACCTCTGTGAATGCTGCAAATTTTTAGACTGCAGTCTTCAAATAGCATTTTCATTGTGCTTTTGGCCGCGAAAAAACATGTGGAACAATGTGGTAGTGTCAGGCACTAGTGTTTTGCATCGTGTGGTGGGAATATCGTTACCATATCTTTACATTGTGAGTTGTAGTAGTTGTTTATATTGCATGAGGAGTTGTGCTTTTAACATTCGACATATCTGTGAAAAAAAAAATTAGATTGATTTTGAAATGTGGCAGCAAACAGAAAGCAAGAGAAATGATCAAAAGAGGCGCACATTTTAAACACAGTGCAGGCATTGACGTATATGCACGTCTTTGACTGTCTTATAGCTGTTCGGGATAACATGCATGCCACGCGTCCAAGCTGCGTGGGGCTACCGCACGCGCTATCTGGAAGCAACGCGCCAGAAAGGAGAGTGCTCTCAATTCCCATGTGGTGAATCCACTAATAGAGCAGACTGATTGACGATGCATGAATTATTTGCAGTGATATGGTCTAAACGTATGCTTTGGCTGCCTGTCAGGTGTGGTTAGGTATGCTGAGTACATGTTTTGTTCCAACCATCATACGACAACAATCTCTGTTTAGTTTTGTGAATTGCTTGCTTAGAGCTCGAAGCAACACTGTACTTGGCATACATATTGTGTGAACCACATTAAAATGTGATGCTGTAACTGTGGCACGTTCTTAAAGGGTTATTATCGTTTGTAAATAAGAATGACAGATTTGTTATGCAAGAAACAAACGAGAAAGTGATCACTGACCGCAGGGCTATGTCAAGCTTTTCAAAATTTTTTTCCTTCTGTTCTGCATTCCCATAGAATTATTGTAGGTCATGGTCAGTCTGCAAAGCAGCCCCACATATAGGAAAAAAAAAAAGATGTGTATGGTGGTACTGTCCACTGTTTGTTGCTTTAATGCAAATATTCGTATCCTTTCTAACCTTCGTTTAGCCGTTGGTCTGAGAGACCACCAGTGTCATAACGTAACTTGTTTTTACTACCTACTGTTGTTGCAGTTTCTGCGAAAAATTTACCAGTACTTTGCTTGCAGCACCATGTGCAATGATGCTCAACGAAGTGTCGACAAAGCGCGGCAGCTCGGCCTACCTCGTCCCGACCAAGGTTCTGGGATCTAATGCGCGGCCCATCCATGCCCAGACAGACTACCTGCAAGGACATTGCAAGGACACCACAGCTAAATCGTCAACGAAGTTCGACAGCCAATTGCTGGTGAGCTATTTGCCGGGCAAGCTCCCGCCTTACCGCCAGATGTTTTACCACCTGAAGGATATCTGCATGGCCAGCGTCCAGAAGTTGGTGCACGCCAACGACGGCCGTGAAGCAGCGACTTGTCACGAGAGGGATGGCTGGTGCGAGGAGGGCACCATGAACAAGTGCCGCCAGTTAATGATGGCCGAATTGAAGGCCACGGTCGACAAGATTAGGAGCGAACAGCCGTCGACATCGCGGGAAGAAAGCCCAGTGGCACTCGAAGAAGACGACGAGTTCGATGACTTCTCGGATGACGAAGGGGACGAAGATTGACTCACCGCTCAACCACATTCGTATAAAGTCAGAGCAGAAGACTGCATTTGAAAAGTCGCAAAGTTGCAAAGCAGATGTGCTTTGGCCATATGGGATTGAGAGTGCAGCTTGGCCAGAGGATGATTAAGATCTCAATTACATTACAGGCAAGAAAGTTTGTGAAGATTGTCTTGCATTACTGATGTCTGAAGAAGTTCACCGAGGTGAGCTCACAGAAATGTACAGTGCTAATTACACCAATCGCTACAGCAGGGTCATGCAAAGTTTTCAAGCCCACCTTGTCCCATCATCTCGTAAATTAAGTGGAGGATATGCTGCTAGGGTATGCGAGTGAAGTGTAACGGTGCTCTGTTTTCTTAAAGACCATCTGTGAGGTGGTTTCGCTCTGTGTAAACATAAAACTTGTAGTGTAAATAAATGTTTTTCAAACAGCCTTGGCAAAGTACTGGGGCTGTCTAACATGCTTATTAGCATCCTTAAGCAGTGGATACGTGAACGACGTGTGCACGTTGTGATCTGTGAATAGAGTCCTGGGACGTTGCTCTTGTGATCTTTGCACCATTAACCTTGTCACCTCATCACTGGGGTTACTACCTGAACATTAGTGGCCACAGTGGCTCAGCAGCTACATTGCTTGGCTGCCGAAACAAAAGTCGCAGGTTCGATCCCAGCAGCTGTGGTTTGAGTTTCGACTGAGGCACAATGCTTGAGACCCGTGTCTTTGAGAGAGGCGATTTCTGTTTGCATGCGTGGGAGTAAGTCTCGGTGGTGTGCCGACCGGAGATTGAAATGCGCTGTATATGCAGCTGCTTGCAAATCATTGCAAAAACGATACGGAGCCTTTGCTACCAGCAGCTACTATGAAAACACAGGTTGGTGAAAAACCGAAGGCTGAATATCCCTTGATCTTGAATGATGAGTCATGTTCTGTCTTGTGCAAAGTTCTCCGAAAGGTGCTCGCAAAGCCGCTGCACCATCATTTTTGAAATGCATACGTACCTCTAGAAGGACTTATCTGACAGGGTGAACAGGCTCCTGTGTACTGAAACACACCGTTTTTTGCCTTCAGAAAGGCAATGAAGCAAGCTCGCATTCAGAGTGTCACTGTGTTGTTCTCCAACTAAGCAACTAAACCATTAATGTGGCTTGCTGGTGGGAATCATGCACATGTGCGAGGGCCTGTTCAGATTTCATAAATAAGACTGGAAATGGGAGGAAATCTGATCAATTAGTGGCGGTCAAAGTCCACTAGATAGGCAATTGCACAATAGCTCCCTTAACTGTTGCATTGTCGGGATAGCGTTAAAATATTTTAAAGCTAACATGTCGAACTACTGCACTGCTAAAAATTTACACAGGCGATGAAGCAGGTGATGTTTCTTGATGTTGTGTGCGAGCATGATTAATTTTTCCGCCATCGGATGGTATTGCCTGTGAGAGCCATCCACATTTGTTTCTAGGTAATCAAGTAAAATGTGTATAACAAATTTGTGAACAAGCTGGAACTCTTTTCTGTTGTTGTGGGTAGAATATGCAAGGTCTTGGACAGCGTGCTTGATCCTTTGAGACTCTGTGTACACAATTGTGTACACCACTTGCTTTTACTAGTTGTGTCTACTAGTGGCCAAGAAAGTGCGAGATACACTGAATTTTTGGTGAATTGAACCTTTTTCATACTAAATGTGCGTTTGCTTGACTACAGTCTGCAGTGTACTGTTGAATGTAGTCATAATGCTGAAGGCACTACCATGTTCGGCGAATAGTTAGATGTGCTGCTCCCCCCGTGAGCTAGGACAAAAATATTATCATTCTTTGTTCAAAACTAACATAACTGAAAATTAATTTGCACTGCAATTCTAGCCTCAGGTTTCATTCTGTTTGTGTAAAAATGAGGCATGAATGACTGCAGAATAAGCGGATACTTGATTACAATTTACTAATTAGAATTGTGAATCAACATATTACGACATAACTTTTATCTAAACCAAATAATAGGTGCCTCAAAATAATGTTATGTGGATTGACATGCATTTACTGACAGTTCTTCATAAGTGGTGTCTGAAAGGGCTGCAGATAGCAAAGAGTGTAATGCTGATAGCAAGGACCGTATTGCCAATTGCAAGGACGAGACACCATTTGCATGATGTGCAGCTGATTAACACTGACAGCCTGCTACATGTTACAGTGATAATTTCTTACAGTAAATTTCACTTGTGCACTTATTTTAGCAATTACAGTATTACCAAAAGTAAACCAGCACTGCTAGAAGGCCCTTTAAACCATCAACGTCTATGGTACTTGTGCTGTTAAATGAGCCTGGGTCAGGAGGCAGCGCCACAACGATCGGCTGTGGGGCTGACAGATCTCGCTGACAATGAGTAGCCTGGTCAGTCATCATGGTAACTGCAACGCGCCGTCCACTGCTAAGATCCAGCTCCTGGGGCTGTATTGTGAGTTGTACTCCGCACCTTCTACCAATGATGATAAGGGGAATAAAGTATATGCAAAGAATATATTTGCGAGCAAATGTGTACAACGCTGCTGCAGTCCATGCATGTTCCCCTCAGCACTTCATTGTTATCATTCTCAGGTATATAATCAGCACGTGACAACATAACTTTGGTGCTTCATGTACAGTAGCAAAACAGTGGCTGAATAATTGCCACGTCTACCAGGTATGGGAGGTGACATGCTTTAACGTTGCCTGTGACATCGTGTCCCAGGATGATTTATACCGTGAAAGTAACTGATGTGTGCAGGTTACCATGAAAATGATGCCGTACAAACACCCTTTATCCGCAAAGGAGCGTAGAGAGGTGCCACATCCAGGGGGTCCTGTGTTGACGCTGAACAGTACATACCAGTCACATAGAGTGCTTCCTGTTGACTTTGATCTTGGAGAACTCTGGCATATTCTTGATGCAAGGTATCATATAGACAGCTTGGAGGCCCGCTCTGCGCCTTCGTAATGTAGTGGCAGCCATAGGCAGCCGCACTGAATTTGCGTTGCGCAATGGCAAATACATGGTGTGGGACAATGCTGTGGGTGAATAACATTTATGTCCATTCCTGGTGAAAGAAAGTGCAACGGCAGAAAAGGTCGTTGTAGAGGCATATCTTCTGCCATTTCTTGGGTTTCACCATCTGTCAAGTCTTGGGCGACATAAGACTTCCAATTATACCAAATACAATATCTTGGATTTCACATCCCAAAACAACGATGTGATTATGAGAAATGCCGTAGTGGAGGGCTCCGGAAATTTCGACCACCTGGCGTTCTTTAATGTCCGACCGAACCCTAATTTGTGGATTGTGCGATACGTCAGGCATGTCCAGAGAGCGGAGAATGCTTTAGTCCTCACCGCTTGACATGCAAACGGCGGCCCGCTCTTAGACCTTGTTATGGGCGGCTAGGTATATTCACGGGTCTCAATGATTGAGTGCGTTGTTTCCTGGGCTTCAGACAGCCTGCATAGTGGTTTGTGTCCAGATTGATTTAAAGCACATGCCACTCTTTAGCTGGCAGCATTTTGTTAAACATTCAGAAGCCAAATGTTTCTCGTTAAGCTCAAACAAGACCTCCAATTTTACGTCTGCAAAGCTTCATGCTGACTGCCAGTGAACACAATTTGCAGCTTGTGGAAAGACAAAATATTAGCCAGGTGGCAAGGTAATCCTTTCGCATTGCTTCTTCAGTTGCTAACATTTATCTTTTGCTTTGAAGAAAGCATGGCGTGTGCCTTAAGGACATTGAGACTGACACAGGCTAGTTGCTCAGTGCATCTGACTTCTGCCCTTTCCCTGCACCAAATGTCGATAAGCCTCTTGGGAGGCTGCTTGGTTTGTTTCGCCCTGGAACTTCACATAGCACTCTGCTCCTCATTACGCACGACAATGCCAGCGGCACTTTTTCCAACTTCTGCAAGTATGTAAAACTCCACAGCCTATATCATTTGCTTTTTGAGTGAAGGTGCTTAAAAATGTGTGCATGTGACAAGGGTATGTTAATGAGGAATGAAGGAAATAACTTATTTAGAAAAGTTTAGCCTTTATATGAAATAAGAAAAAAATGCTAAGATATACGGGCTATGAAGCTACTTGGAAAGATGCACTGATGACTGAAGTTCTTTGAGTGCCAGTTTCCCTCGGGCAATATGCATCTTGATGGCATCCTGAAATGACAAGGGCAAAATAGACTTCATATGAGCTATAAATTTTTCGAAATAACGAACGGATACGAGTACCAATGCTTAACCATAACATCGGGTCTAATTTTGGTTATAATGCTTCGAAGCAGTGGCTACATGCTTTTTATTTCTCGTTTCATTGGGTTAATGCTTCCAGAATATGCATGCATCATTAAAGCACACTACTACTATATTTTCTTTGCCCTACACATAGACATGCAAGTTACGTCGTAAGCAGAGAGAGTGTGGAACGTAATTTTGGCTCAAACCAGGTAACGGGGGTAATTAAAACTGCTTACAGGAGTGAGACAGCTGCGAGGTCACATATCTGAATTAGCGAGATGTTACGAAGTTCTGGAGAGATGAAAAATCGCGCTATTCCAAGCACGGAGAGAAGATTAAGTGCTTATCCACTAGCGTGTTGTTGCAAGTGTGAGGAAGTTAGAAAATACGGTTTTATTTTGAGAAAACCAGGCAGCGAGCCATACGAGTCTCTAACAAACACGGTGCGCACCTCCTCTGTAACGTGCTTGTTGCAATCGAAATCGTGCCTCGCCCAAATCTGCAGCTCTCTCCTTTGCCGCTCGTCGTCCACAGCGCGTATCGTTCGCAGCGTGTCACGATACAGTTTGAGCACCTCCTGCCTCAGCATGAACTGTAACACATGGACCAGCAGCAAAGGATGTAAAACTCATTCAGTGGTTAAAGCGCTAGAACGTGTGAGCACGCTGCGTATGTGTGAAAACGTACTCTCTTTAGCGTCATTGCGTTTGACGCATTCGTGCTGAAGGAGGCTGCCATCTTTGTTTTCACCTACCGATCTCAAAGCCTGGTCGTTCTCTCAGTGATGCGTGAAAGTCGTAGTACCAAAAAGCCACCGTGGTGGCACCACTTTTTAACGATCTACGTCGCGTCGCTTGTCGCTGTCGCGTGCATTTTCGCGCTTATGTGGTTTGGGCTTGATAGAGTTGTGTGATGAACCTAACAATGCCGAGTAGAGGATACTTGTAGTAAATATCAAATATTTATAACACGAAACTCGGTAGCGTGCTTACATGCGAGGCTTCAATGATGTACGATCATAGAATAAAGAACCAATATGGTACAATGGTTAAGTGGGCCAACTTCCATAAAAGCTGCACATTTCTTACACTTTACGTCAAAGCTTGATTTAATCGGTCTATTTTGTGACAAAGAAGAAGACGTGGTTATCGCCTTGGAGATAGTAGACGATTAAATGAGAGCAGCGTAGTGTGCTGTGTGCACTGTGTGGTAACATTGAGGAAAGATGGCGACACTAATCTATTCAATTGAGTTTTGATTTCGCTTGTTATGAATAAAATTAATTCCTCCTCCTGCTCGATTTCTACAAACTGTGGGATCCCCACTGCTAATAGAATTGACAGGCGTTGAATAACTCAGGGTATTACCAACTCGAAAGCTATGTGAGGCAGTTGGCAAACGCAGTACAAAAATTTGATTCGTACGCAAAAGCATCGCACTTGCTGGTGCGGTGACACTGAAAAAAAATGAGATAGTTTTTTTGTTTTATAATTTGCTGAAATAAGAAAACATGTTACAATGCCTGCCTCCACCACTCGTACAACTTGTTGCATACGTCTATAACGCTCATTGCCCGATGCCTTAGGCCACCTGTTGAGCTTACGGGGAGTTACGTTGTCAACGTTCGTATCACGTGACGTTCTGCTCGCCGTCGCGCGGGCGGTGAACGTCTGGTGCGTGTGTGCGTGTTGTGGACTTGGCTTTGGAAACTGAAACGGTGAGTCGTACCTTCGTTATTTGCTTTCAGTATCGAAAACTGCGCTAACTACAGTCGTACCGCATCGTCTGGGCGATGCACGTGTGTGCCTGTTGCAGCGACATTTATGGCCACATGTGACACGGGCGCAGCAGCGCTTGCTGTATTTGTACCTGGGAGCACCGGCGAACCTCACGCGCGCAGTGAGCGTAGTCGCGCGCGTCAGGCCAGCTGAGTGTGACATATTCCTCGCCGAACAACTGTCTCCGGTTTCTGCTTCGAATTGTGTTTAGAAGTTGAGTCCCTTGCCTACGCACCACGTCTGCGTGGGTGACTTCAGTTGAATTCATCGAAAAATTTGGGCTGTATTTTTTTTTTACTTTGTACGCGTCGCGTACGAAGCATCGCGCGCGACGGAAATTCGCTCCGGTATGTTTTTTTTCCTTACGGGAGTTTCTTTTTCGTAGTTTTTTTTCACTTCGAAGGTGATAATGACGTCGCTACGATTAAGTGTACCGCGCAAGTTTTCGCATTCATTCTTGCTTACATTGATTCAGGCCCTTGAGGTTCTCAATACGTTTTTCTAGCGAAAAATTGTCGCGTCGGCTGTTTGAGGGCGGTAGCATGGAATAACATACCATGTTACTTTATGGGAGTGGCATATTATATTGCTATATGGCAGTTGTTTAGTGCTGGTCAATTAACAAGGACGGTGAAAGGAAGTGACACGGGCGCTCGCATCCTTTTCGCTGTCTTTTAAAAGCGCATAAAACTACAACCTTCAAGCCACACACTTGTTTGAGAGGGGTGTTTTTTTTTTTTTTTTTTTTTTTTGCCGACCACTGCCTGCTCATCGGTGTATGCCTTGTCGCGTGTGCTCGCACAAGACGATTGTGGTGCCTTTTGTTGCGTTTCTTTTTCGCGTAATGCAACGTTCAAGGATATCGCAGGTGCGGCATTTCTATCCTCGTGGACTTCGCCGCGCGTGCGCCGCTGTTGCCTGTAGCTGGAACGGTTGCGTACGCGGGGACTTGGAGCACACCTGTGTGTTTGTGCCCCGTATAGCTAGAGCTATAAGCTGTGTAAGACTGCGCGGACCGAGTCCAAATCCGGCTGAAACCGTGTCGCGCGAGGAAACGATGCGACCGTGACCTCGAATCCAAACGGAACCTGTGACATCGACTCTGTCGCGTTATTTTTTTTTTCCTTTTCCCTATTGTTTCATCGTATTTGTTTTTATTTTTTGCGTCCGCATGTGCAGTTTAGTGTTCTGTCGTCTTTGATCTTTCCTGGGTGACGGCGCCGCTCCGTTGAGCACACGTGCTCTGCGCTGCTGACCCAGAGGTCGCGGGTTCGATTCCAACGGTGGGGCTGGCATTTCGATGAAGGAAATGTGGTAGAGGCCCCCATGTGCTGCGCGATATCAGTAAACGTTAGAAAACACTAGATGGTCGGCATTTCCGGAGCCCTTCACTACGGCGCGCCTCACAATCATATCGTGGATTTGTCATGTGAAACCATATATGTAAAATATTGCGAGTGGAACGCGCACACGTGAGAAGAACAAAAGGGTAGGAAAAAAAAAAACAGCGTATGCTGTGAAGTCAAGCGGACTTACTCACTCTGAGTTCTTAGAATATTATTTCTTTCGGGGGCTGCTTCAACAAGAACGTCTGCTAAGACACAATATGATTTTCTTGGTGACACAAGAATTCCTTGTTAATAGATGGCTTACGCTGACGTGTCACTGAAACAGCCACGTTGCAGCGGACGCATAATCGCGCTGAATTTTCAAGATATTATTTCTTTTGCGGCTACCTTCCTGTGGTACAGCGACAAGAACGTCTGCTTAGACATGAGATTTTCTTGGTGACACAAAAAGAATTCCAACTGCTAATAAATAGCTTGCCCCGCCGCGGTGGTCTAGTGGCTAAGGTTCTCGGCTGCTGGTCCGCAGGTCGCGGGATCGAATCCCGGCACCCGCGGCTGCATTTCCGATGGAGGCGGAAATGGTGTAGGCCCGTGTGCTCAGATTTGGGTGCACGTTAAAGAACCCCAGGTGGTCGAAATTTCCGGAGCCCTCCACTACGGCGTCTCTCATAATCATATGGTGGTTTTGGGACGTTAAACCCCACATATCAATCAAATCAATCAATCAATCAGCGGCTGCATTTTGCAGAGAGACGAAAATGCTGCTGTCACGTGTACTTAGACTTGGGTGCACGTTATTGGTCAAAATTTGCGGAGCCCTCCACTATGGCGTTTCTCATGATCATATGATGGTTTTGTGACGTTGAACCCCACATATTATTATTACAATAAACTTCGGAGACGTTTGAAGACACGGCTGCACCCTGACCTCTCCAGGAATGACGATAGTTATAGCGCGAGAACAAAACGACGACACAGAGACAAGAAGAACACGAAAGACCCCTTCTTGTCTCTGTGTCGTCGTTTTGCTCTCGCGCTATAAAACAATCGTCATGCCATACCAACTAGCCCAAGCTGCCACACCTCTCCAGGCAATGCGCATGACCACGCATGTGTCGAGATGCGGTGTTGGTATACGTGTATCCTGCCCACACGCGTGGAATACGCCGACGTGCGAACAGACGACGCTTAAATGCGAGTTTAAACGCAAACAAAACGCAACTAGCTGCAAGGTCAGAACGACCTCTTACGCAACGAACGTGTCGTGTGCAGTCGTTGTTGCTCGCCTGGTTTCTCGACAATCTGTGGGTCGCATGTGACTCTGTGTGTCGGAGAGCTGACGAAAGCGGAAACTTGTATGCAACTCCTGGCGAATGTCGGCTCGTCGATTCAGCTTATCGTTTCATATTCGTTTTGTTCGTTCTTTTTTTTTTTTGGCGCGAGTGATTGTATTCATGTTCTTTGTCACAGCTTAAAAGCCATTCCCCCACGAAAGCATGTGCTGTGTTAAAAATACGTTTGCAGGTTTGTAAGGTCCGTAAACACGGCGATCGAGGTCGGTTGGTCGGCTATTGTCCCGAGACCTGTAGCACGGCGTTAGCGAAGATGACTTGCATACAGGCCTCCCCTTCCTTTACAAGTCCGCAAAAATTCGCATTCCGGGCTGGGAGGTCACAGAATGAGCACGATGCAACAAACGTGTATGTGTCGCGGTAACGTGCGCCTGGAACAGTCGCAGAAGGGGTAAGCGACTAAGCGCGTAATCCCGACATGAGGCTTCCGCAACGTAACCTTCTCGCGGTGGGTTAAACCAACAGAGAGGTCTGACCCACGTGGGGGTATGGGAATAGACCTCTCCCTGTTTGTAAACAATGTGACGTCACTGCGGGCACCCCGCCCCCTACACCTTCTCTCGGAGCAGGTGCTGGTTGGCAAGAAAGTTCCTCCGGCGGCATCTTTATGCATAGCAGAGCTGCGTGTCTGCATTCTTTCGGCAGAAATTTCTACATTGCTACGTTCTAAAGTCACAGCTTTTGAAAGAAGGGGGTCGCGGAAGGGTCACTGCTCATAGTGTGGGAATTCGCTTGTCGTAGTTGGATAGAGGGAGACACTTTGTTTAGAGTACTGAGAGATGCGACTAGCATCCAGTGGGCTTCAGCCACGCAGATGACAGCCATAAAAAAAAATCTGATCTTTTTTTGAAAGCGAACATTTTAAATGTACACGATTACTGGCACTTTGAGAAATATTTGCATGGCATGGATGTGCACTTACTCAATTTCCATCGTGGCATGTGCAATGGAGTTTTAAACGAGGTACAGCATTGGCGGCAGCATGGTTTTGAGCTGCTGTGCACGACGTCACGGATAAGATTATCACTCATTGGCCAAAAGTCTCGTTGGAGATGAATGAAAAAAAAAAAGCCACTTCTTGCCGTGGGTTAGGCTGAGGTTAACATATCCTCGTGAAAATCAAAGTGAACTTCTGCCGCTGCGTTTCTCTATAACCCAGTGAAAATTCATGTGATGTAAAACCCGACATCTTAATATGTAATAATATCTGGCACAGTTACCTTGCTGCATTTGACACCTATAACGTGTTTTCGTACCTATCGCTCCTTTAGGCCTGATACACAAACTTCTAACGCGTATTGTCACTTCACAAGGATCGAGCCGTAAAAGTACAAAGTAGATAAGAAACCGAAATCTCCGCTGTTTCCATTAACGCGTATCAGGTATTCGATATTACGAGTTATAGCCGTGGTGATGCATATATGCAGATGCGACAACGCTACAACATGTTTATAGCTCATGCGTAGTCGTATATCACCCTGAGATCATGAACTTTTATTTTTCTGCACGCCGCGCGCGCATACGCTGAGATGTACCCAATCGCAGATGATCGCGTCAAATGTATTTTTACCTTGACTACATTGTCAGATCGTAAAGTTCCATCGACAATCGGTTACTGAAACCGGTCCACAACGACTACCAGTCTTTTCGCAAACAGGATGCATCGCTATACTCACACTGCACACACCACGCACAATATTCCCAGTTTCATCGCCCGTAAAGATGAACCAATGTCGATGCCTTTCAACGCACACTATACGCCACATTTAACACTGCACATTTTCGAAGAAGATGCCGCTGTTCCTCGCGCAGGCCGCCACGTGTGTTCACTTTTCGTAGATAAACAGCCAGCCATCGTGGCGAATATTTCATCACGCACTTTATCACACACCTAGATGTTCTCTGACACATGCCACAGCTAATGTTTCCACTGTGAGATGAAGATTAAGCTTTCAAAAAGAAAAAAAAAAATGCCCCAAGCCCCGAGCGACTGCACCCCACTCAGCCACCGGCCGGAGTGTTTTGCCAACCACCGCCTTGCACGTGCACCGGTGACGTCACGCTGTGACGTACCCCGGTAGAGGTCTATTGTGGACATTAAATACTGTTTGCCACGGCTGCTCATTTTTATGTTACCGTTACAGTGTTACCGCGGTAATGCGTTGCTTTTTAGGGGCGGAATTCCTAAAGCTGTGGGTCTGTCCCTCCTAGCTCGTACATGACCGCCTATAGTTCGAT